TTCAAAGTTTTTGTTGATTTTGATTTTTACTTTCTTATAGTTACTCATTTTCCTGGTCCCTTATTTAAGTTTTCTAGATTCCTGCTATGAGTGAGTCCATCCGGTAGTTTTGTTTTTCTTTCTGGCTTATTTCGCTGAGCATGATCCCTTCCAGCGCCATCCATGTTGCTGCAAACTGCATGTGTTTATCTTTTTTGAATGCTGAGTAATATTCCATGGTATATATGTACCACATCTTCTTGATCCAGTCATCTATTTTTGGGCATTTGGGCTGTTTCCAAAGCTTAGCTATTGTAAATAGTGCTGCTATAAACCTAGGGGTGCAGGTGTTCTTTGGAATTGATGTTTCTGTGTCCTTTGGGTAAATACCTAGGAGTGGAATTGCTGGATCATATGGAAGCTCTATGTTTAGTAGGTCCAGAAATCTCCACACAGCTCTCCATAGTGGTTGGACCAGTTTGCACTCCCACCAACAGTGCAGAGAGTTCCTTTTTCTCCACACCCTCGCCAATATTTGTTGTTGCTAGTTTTTTTAATATGTGCCATTCTCACTGGTGTAAGATGGTATCTCATGGTAGTTTTGATTTGCATTTCCCTGATTACAAGTGATGTTGAACATTTTTTCATATGTCTGTTGGCCATTTGCATTTCCTCTTCAGAGAAGTTTCTTTTTAGCTCTTCTGCCCAATTTTTGACTGGATTATTTTCTTTGTTGTTGTTGAGTCTCATCAGCTCTTTGCAGATTTTTGTGATCAGTTCTTTATCATTAGTGTTGTGTAAAAAAATGTTCTCCCAGTTGGTGGGGTTTCTCTTTGTTTTTGTTATTGTCTCTTTTGCTGTGCAGAAGCTCTTTAATTTGATGTAGTCCCAGCTGTTTATCTTTGCCTTCACTATCACTGCTTTGGGTGATGTGTTTGTAAAGATGTCTTTGATGTGCAAATCATGTAGTGTTTCGCCTATATTTCCTTCTATGTATTTTATGGTTTCAGGTCTTATGTCTAGTTCTTTAATCCATTTTGAGTTGATTTTTGTGTATGGTGTGAGGTAGTGGTCAAGCTTCATTCTTTTGCATGTGGCAACCCAGTTTTCCCAGCACCATTTATTGAACAAACTTTCTTTGCTCCAATGCATAGTCTTTGCTCCTTTGTCAAAGATTAGTTGACCATAAATCTGTGGGTTTATTTCTGGATTTTCTATTCGATTCCATTGGTCTGTGTGTCTGTTCTTGTTCCAATACCATGCAGTTTTGATGATTATGGCTTTGTAGTAGAGTTTGAAGTCTGGGAGTGTGATGCCTCCATTCCCTTCTTTTTTTTTTCAGGAGAGCTTGGCTATTCGGAGTTTTTTGTAATTCCATATGAATTTCATCAATAATTGTTCTAGTTCTTTGAAGAATGACATTGAGATTTTGATTGGAATAGCATTGAATCTGTATATTGCTTTTGGTAGGATGGCCATTTAATAATGTTTATTCTACCAATCCATGAGCAGGGGATGTCTTTCCATTTCTTTGTGTCTTCTATTTCTTTTAACAGTGTTTTATAGTTTTCTTTGTATAGGTCCTTTACCTCTTCGGGCTCAGTGTCCAAGGCTTCCCCCAGGCGCTGAGCACGTGCTGCTGTCGCCCAGAATACAGGGCCCCCAAGGTCTACCTTGGCCAGCAGTACAACGGCCCCAAGGTGGACGTGTGGAGCCTGGGCATCATGCCCTACGAAATGGTGACCGGCACACTGCCCTTCAGGGGGCCCAGCCTCAGGGCAATCAGGGAGTGCGTCCTGGGTGGGAACGTCCACCAGACCACCTACCTCATGGTCCAGGGCGGGGACCTGCTGGCCAAAATGCTGGCACGGGACCCCTGGAAGCGCAGCACCCTGGAGAGCATCCAGCAGCACGCCTGGGTAGCAGAAACGAGCAGGGGACTCCTGCCCTTCAGCGAGCCGTCGCTCTGCCCCCAGGACCTGGCCATAACCAAAGGTATGGAGCGCCTGGGCTACCAGAGGCAGGAAATTCGGGAGGCCATTGACACTAACAAGTACCGCGAGGTCATGGCCACCTACCTGATCCTCTGCTCCAGGAAGCAGGCGGGGGAGGAGGACTATGAGGAGGAGGGGGAGGAGCGGCCCAGGCGCGTTACCTTCCAGGTGCCGAAGCGCGTCACCTTCCAGGATCCCGGTTACCCTGATTACAAGGACTCCCCACCCACCCCCACCCCGCCGGCACCTGAGGTTTCGGGGAATACCCCAAGGCCGGGTATCCTGGGAAAGCACCCAGTGCAGAAGATTGGAAAAGATACCCACCCCACTCCCTCAGCCTGAGGTTTTGGGGAATGCCCCAAGGCCAGGTATCCTGCGAAAGCAGGAAGTCCAAAAGAGGGGAAAGGATGTCACCCCGGGCAACAGGGTCATCTCCACCAGGTCCCTGAGCTGGAGGATGCGCAGCAGCACACCACTGCTGCAGGTCCAAGCCCCCTGCTAGAGGACACCCCAAAGGGCAGTCCCTCTGCGCTAGGCCCAGAGCTGGAGGATGGCTGGGGGGACACCAGCACCTCTGTGGCTAGACCCCAGCTGGAGAACACTGGGGAGCACGGCAGCACCACTGAGACAGGCCCCCAGCTGGAGAGGGACCAGGAAAGCAGGGCCAACACGATCAGTCCAGCTCCCCAGCCCTCCAGCACCACCCTAAGACGTCCCCCAATATGTGACTGGCCTTCCAGTGCAGTGGCCCCTTCAGCAATCATCAGGGCCAGAGATAGAGTATTAGAAATTATCCTAGAATTTTGTTGCTGCTGTGCAGCATTGGAACTGGAGAGCAACAAAGATTAAAAATAGTGCCATACCCGGCAGAAGACCCCCCACCCCCAAAGAACAAGCACTCAGTGGCCATGGTGAACAGGAGTACACCAGGGAAGGTTGAGGCTCTGGAGAGGCTCCGGGGCTGGGCCCAGTCAGAGGGGCCAGGAGCAGCATGAGACTCACAGGACTGCAGCACAGAAGTCTGGGCAGCACTGATGTCCCTGGAGCAGAGCAGGTGAAGGACCAGGCAGGCAACGAAACTGGTGAAGCATCTGGAGAGGAGCAGAGCGGGTGAGGGTTGGCGTGCGGAGGGGTTGGGGAGAGTTGAGCAGGTACAGGACCAGGAGAGGGGTGTGGGGCTGTGTGGGCAGAGCCTCCAGAGGTCCCAGGGCCACAGGCGAGGAACCCTGGGCCTCTCTCCCCCATCTTAGGTACTGCCCCCTTGGTGGGAGAAACCTGCTGCTCACCCCTGGGCACACAGATGGTGCAGAGGATGCAGGAGCTCTTGCAAAGGCTTGGGCCTGGGTGGTAAATCGTGCAGATTGCAAGGAGCACATAGATAGGCTCTCTAGCTCCCCTTAAGAAAGACTCTGGGACCAGTATATTAGAATCCAAACGGGACTCTCCAAGGTGGGCAGAGGTTATTCACAGAGCAGCCCTAATCCACCATGACCTGCTCAGCTGGAAAATCCGCACATCTTCCTGCTCCACGAAGCCTAGGCTATGATCAGTCTCAGTCCCGCAGTGAGCACACCTAGGTGTCCAGTGTCCCCTGGGCCGAAGCTGCAGCTCGTCATGGAGTACGTGCAGAAGGGATTTTGCAACTTGGGATTCTTACACAGTGTCAGTCCAGCTGGAATTTCTCCTTTTAAAAATCCTCTCCAGACGGCTACCCACCCTTCCTCCTCCCTGGATTCAAACCCTGCAGGGTGACCTTAGCCAAATTGGAAACATTAATATCGCCCAACAGATGCAGGCTTTGGACACCAGTCTCTGCCAATTAAATCACTGGGTACAGGAATGAAAAACTACAGGGGCTGTCTACCTTAAATTTGTGTTTTTTCATCATTGTTTAGATGGTGTTCAATTCCCTTCTAAAACTAAGGTTTTGCTAAGTCTGGTAAATGCAAGTGAGGTGAGGTATGTGTGTTTGAAAAAAGAAATGTATGGAAGAGGGATATTCTGAAGGGCCTTAAGATAATGTAAAGCCGGATGGGTAAAATGAAATGGCATTAGAATGAAAGCAAGCAAAAGAAAGTGTTGAAGGTCTGACAGGGAGGTTTTGGTGAGAAATCGTGTGTACTCAGGTGTCTCCCCCTCCTCCAACACACTCATGGGCTTGCTCATCTGACCAGCAAAGCCCCCTCTGACTGACCTTTTGTCAGCTGAAGCTGGGGCCAGGACATCCAAACTTGGACCAACTCTCCCTTACTGCCATGGATCCTTCCCATAGTAGGCCTGGTGATCATGATCATGCTTTTATTTGTTTCTACACCCCATTTTCTCTGCTTTATCCAGGAAAAGCTCTCTGAGATGAGCCTTCGCACTCCCAGACCCGGGAAAGCCATTCCTGTTATTGACAGATGAGCAAAAGGGCGTTGCTCTAGGGGTTCTGGGCCAACCTACGCCAGTCCAGCGAGCAGTTGCTTATTTCTCTAAACAAATGGATCCCACTGTAAGAGGATGGCAGCCCTGCCTGCGTGCACTTGCGGCAGCTTCTCGTCTCGCTAGACCTAAGGCCTTAAAACCCACACTGGGCCAACCTGTAAATGTTAGTTCTCCACATCGGCTCCAGGACCTGCTCACTCATCAGGCTCTCTCCCCTCCATCACCCTCTTGTCTGTTAGATTTCTACTCTCTTTGTCAAAGACCCTCTCATCTCCCTCTCCCAATCCTCGACTCTCCATCCTGCCAGGCTTCACGGGTGTTCCACTCCCTAACGCAGGTAACACCCTCTTCTTACTACGGTGGACACCATCACCAGTCGGACAGTGGACCTGCCTTTATCTCAAAGATTACTCCACAGGTCTCCTCCCTGGGCATCACCTGGAAACTACACATTCCCTCCCGACTGCAATCCTCTGGTAAGGTAGAACGGGTAAATGGTCTGACCAGAGACCACCTAGCCAAACTCTCCACAGAGCCCACAAATCCTGGGTGGAGCTGCTCCCACTGGCTTTAGTGCACCTCCGAGCCACTCCCCATGGCCCCTTGTTCCTGAGCCCCCTTGAACGGATGTATGGCAGACCTCTTCTTACTAACCATGAGCTCCGCGTCCAACCTACACTGTTGGCTGGATATTTTCCATACTTCTCTTTGCTCAGACAGCTGCTCCAAGAACACGCAGACCTTTGTCTGCCACAACCTGTGCCTCCGTCCCCTGATGCACCTGTCAACCTGCTGTGCCCTGGAGACCAGGTTCTTCTGAAAGCCATCTCTCCAAAACCACTTCCGCCAAAGTGGATGGGTCCACACGATCATCCTGAAAACACCAATGGCTGTCAAGGCATCAGCTGTCCAGGGTCAAAGCGGTCCCTGTGGACAAGCAGTATGTATACAAGCACATGGGCCCAACTCGGGTTTGCATCAATGCATCCCTGGTCCACATCCCACTCAGCCTATAGAGTAGAGGCCCTCTGATTCTCCTTCCTCTGTTTCTTTTTTTTTTTTTTAAAGATTTATTTATGCAAGCACTGGGTACAGTCAGAAACACAGGAGGGTGAGAGAACTCACCAGAGACAAAGCGAAGAGCAGAACAGGCAGACTTGACGAAGCACACTGCTGAGGGGAGCAGTGGGCGGCAGGAGAGGTCTGCCCGCCATGTGGGACCCTCGCCTTGAGGCCAGGGATTGAACCGGTGCTGTAGAGGCTGTGGGCAGCTTCACAACCCAGCGCTCAACCGTCAACCGCTGCGCCACCGGGGAGGCCCCTCTCCTTCCTCTGTTTCTAATCCCATCTCTTCAAGCCACTTCCAGTTCTTCTGTCTATGCCCAGCAATTCCAGATCAGCACAGCCTCGGACCAGGTATTACCACTCATAGGGCTTCTTATCCTAATCTCCTCATTTTTTCTTTTTGCCCCATGCTTACTCCATTTCATCCAACACCGGATCCAAGAACTGTCCCATACCACCTTTAACCAACTCCTTCTCCACCCATATCCTCGCGCTGCAAAGACTGTCTCATAACCAGGCCTGAGCGCCCACCCTGGTCTTCGCCCCTGTCCAGCAGGAAGTAGCCAAAGAGAGAACCATTGCCCCTTTTCAACAAAAGGCTGGTATGAAAGGTCGATGCAGGGGCCAGGAATGGGGAAGCCCACATACAAACAACAAGATGGCCCTGACACCAGTACCCCTGATTCCATCAAACCAAAACTGAAGCCATAAGCAGGAGAAAACAACTCAGCTCCACGAAAAAACAACTTAGTTCCCCCTAAGCCTGTTTCCCCCCCTACCAACCCAGTTTTCCTGCCTAACCTCTCCTCACCCTATGAAATGACATCTCCCCCCACAACGGGCACGATTTCAGGGACACCCATCTTGGGTACGACGCTTGCCTGGGGGCGCAATGAATTGTCCCTTCCTTTGAGAAAGTTTAGCTTGGCTCCCCTTTTCTTTACTGCGCCAAACTGTTACAGGGCAGCCCCGGTATAAAAAGGGTTGTCTGACTGTTTCCCGATTCTGGTGGAGTGTTTCGGATTCTGGTGGAGCTGCCCGGACAGGGCCGGTTCTGAGATGGGCAGAGTTGGGGGTCCTGGAGGGCGGCGTCCTGGTGGTGAGATGCTCTGTGAGGAGTCAGAGAAGCAGGGCTCAGAGGAGAGGAGACTCGGGGGAATGCCCTGGGTGTGAGGTTTCCAGCTTTTCTCCCCAGGACCCCTCTCTCCAGCCTCTGGATAACAAAACCTGGGGAAACAGGAAAGTAGATCATTTTTTCCTTTTACAACCTATTTAGTATTGAGGACTTAAAAAAAAAAAAACATAACATTTAATGAATACTGTTAAATTTACAGAAAAGTTGCAAAGATAGTACAGTTCTTATTCATCCCACACCATTTCCACTTTGTTAACATCTTACATGAATACAGTTGTTTTTTTTTTCACAGCTAATGAAGCAATGTTGACACAGTTACCAAACTCTGTGCTTAATTTCATCAGTTTTCCTAATGTACATTTTATGTTCCATAATCCAAATTGCCTCACTCAGTTACAGCCAGTTCTCCTCGATGTGCCTCTTGCTGACTGTTTCTCTGACTTTGCTTGTTTTTATAACGTTGACATTGGTGAGGAGTGATATTTTGGAGAGGTGTTGGGTTCACAGTTGGGGTTCTTGGGTCACGTCTGAGAAAAGTTTCACCAGATTCCCCCTTTCACATACACAGTGAGTTTCCCCACAAGACAGAGACTTTTTGTCTCTGCCAAAGAGAAGTTTTATTATTTCTTTTTTTAAAAAAGGGAAAGAGTCAGAACCCTGCTACCCTCCCCCACCCACTGAGTAGGCTCTCTCCGACCAACGGAAAGGAGGGAAAAAAAAAAACTGCAAGAACGAACTACAGATCAAGTGGGACACTGAGTAGAGAGGAACTATTTCAGGCACCGCACCCCACAAATGGGAACTGTGGAGAACGGTGAAGAAATCACCACAGAGGTGATCGAGCGGCTCCGGGCGCCATCAGAGGAAGACAAGGATTCCACGGTGACCTACAAATAGCCTAAGGCCAGCTGAGAACCACTGGGAAAAAGCAAAGGTCAGCAAGGACAGGTCTCTGGTGCCACCTCATGACCAGAACAAAATCACCAACTAACTGATTCCCTGTTGGAACTAAGTAAATACAGAGGGAGGGAACTGTAAGGGACAGTGCCCAGCAACACAGCATCAACACTCTGGTGGAGTGTTGTCTCCAGTGCTAGTCTCAGTCTGGTGAACAGTTTCCGACACCCCTAAAGGAGCACTCCAAAGAGATGGAAGCCACCCTTAGGACAACTTGGATCCTTCTCCTTTGGGGACTTGCTGGCGCGGGGTTGCACAGAGAGGAGGGGGCAGAGCTTGCTGGCTTTCAGGGCTGCTTCAGAACCCAGGGGTTCTCTGAGCCCCTCTGGCTGCCCCCCCCCAACAGTAAATGGACTGAACAGTGAAGAGGAGGAGGAAGAGGAGGACAAGGGTCCCCTGACAAAACTAAGCATCCCGGACGATCTAGACAGCTGCGAGGCCATGGTGAGCTCGGCCCTGGGGCCCCTTCCCTGCCCCACCTTCCCCCTCCCACCAGCACACCCTTCTTCTTGGTTCCCCTCCCTTTGATTAAGCTTTCACCCACCTCTGCTGGGAGCTAGTGGGTAGACACCAACACCATCCTCGAATCTCAGGTGTGCCCACGGAGGCCCTGAGAGGTGTGCCTCCCAACCTCCTGCCGGGCCCACAGGGGCACCCTGCACCTCTGGCCCACAGGTGGCATTTTGTAACTCGGCCTTGGCCAGTGCTGAGGAAGAACAGGCGCGGCTGCACAGGCAGCTAAAGGAGCAAAAGCTGCTCTGCTGGCTCCTGGCTCAGCAGGTAGCCCCATGGGACCAGGAGCCTGAGAAGATGGAGGCCCCAGCCCCCGGGGGGAAAGTGTGCCTGGGGAGACCCACCAGGCCCTTCAGGGAGCCATGGAGAAACTGCAGGTGAGTGTGTGTAAGGCAGGAAGGAATGGCCACAGGGCAGGTTTTCTGATCCAGCAGACCGGGTAAAGGAGAAGTGAGTCCTGGAAGCCTCAGTGAATTTTGCAGACTTTATTGGGATTTACCAGATACATGGCAGGTAGGGGTGCTAGGGGGCCAGGAGGCTGACAGGCCTCCCAGCCCCCAGCAAGTCTTCACTCTTTCTGGGCTCTCTGGCGTTCTCTGGTGGTCTCTGCTGCTCTGCTCTCTCGGTTCTGCTTCTGCTTCTCTGCTGCTGCTGGCGTCCCCGTGACGCCACCCTTAAAAGCCCATCTTAGCCCAGGTGAATCCCATCTACCTATGCCCACACCCTACTCCAGGTGTCCGTATCAGGCATGCATTTGGGACCGCAGGGTTCCATCATCCATCCTATGGGCGGGAGAGCAGAAAAGCCTGATACTTTTACCTTACCCTACAATCCACCCCCTCAGGGTTTTCTGCCAGACAGTCTATACAAGTGATACACACGTTTCTCTTGACGAATAGGAACACTGCAGCCATGGCCCACAAAAGCAAATGAAATATATCACAATGAAATATAACAGAACACAAATAAGTCCAGGCAGGGCATCAACCTAGTGGCAAAAGACAATTATTGGCACCAGTAGATGATCCACCACTTCCGCTGCCGAAGGCACTGCTCATGCGAGGGAGGGAACCACTCAGGCATCAGCCGTCACACGCCAGGAGCCATCAGGCCTCCCGGCCCCCTCCGGCTGCAGTCTCGGCCACAAGCCACACACCGCATCCACCCCCAGGATGCACTCACTCTTGGGTTGGCGATTCTGTACTCTTTGGGGGTAATCGCCCATCCCTCAGGGTTTTCTATCTGTGGTCGCTCCAACGCTCCAGCATGCAGGCCCCTGCACTCAGGCCAACCCACTGCACAAGCACATGGGTCGGGGATCCGTGGATACAAGTCCACATGCGGCCTCTCTTGGGTCCCCTCTTTGGCTGTGGGCTCCACCACAAGCCACGTTCCCTACCCATCCCCCAAAGATGGGCTCCTCAGCTCCTCCCCCTCACTCAACTATGAGCAGGGCATCACCCACAGGTGATTTTAAAAGACTCACTGGCCTTTAGCTTACGTAGTGCGTAACAGCCGCTCAGGGCTTCCCGAACTTAGCACCAGCTTTTGCCTTCTCAGTTGGCTTTTCTCCTCTGCTTAGCTGCTGGGCAGTACACCGGCTGCCTTTGGCCACCAAGGCCCACTGACACCCCCAGACTCCCATCTCTGGGGGTGGACAATCCCATCCTTCCTCAGGGTCCCCAAAACATATCAAACTTGCCAAGGTCCTCCCCCTTCTGGCGGGATTGTTAGTCCATTAGTCCAAGTTCATCGGCTTTTCCCTTTGTCCACACTGGGGAGCTCTGAGTCGTGGTCCTTTCTCCCCCGATGATTCTTGCTGCCTAGGCGGGGATTGTTGGCTGGTCCTCTCGGGCATCTCCTCCTCCAGGCGAGGTCTCATCCCGCAGCTCCCGGACTTTGCCCTTCCCCTGTCCCGCCATGACACGTCCAGCGCTGTCACAGGCAAACACTGTCTGCTGCTCCTCAGTCCCTCCCGGTCTTCGGAGGGCTCCATACCGGTCTGCATGGATCATCTTGCTGACTTACACCAATTGTAAGAGAGGAAGGAATGGACACGGGGCAGGTTTTCTGATCCAGCAGACTGGGTCCAGGAGAAGAGAGTCCTGGAAGCCTCAGTGGCTTTTGTAGGCTTTTATTGGGATTTACTGGATACATGGCAGGTAGGGGTGCTAGGGGGTCAGGAGGCTGGCAGGCCTCCCAGCCCCCAGCAAGTCTTCACTCTTTCTGGGCTCTCTGGCGTTCTCTGGTGGTCTCTGCTGCTCTGCTCTCTCGGTTCTGCTTACGTTTCTCTGCTTTTGCTGTGAATGCCACCCTTAAAAGCCCAGTCTTAGCCCAGGTGAATCCCATCTACATATGCCCACACCCTACTCCAGGTGCCTGCATCAGGCTTGCATTCAGACCACAGGGTTCCCTCATCTATCCTAAAGGCGGGAGGGCAGAAAAGCCTGATAGTTTTATCTTTCCCTACAGTGTGGTTGTCCGGAGGGCTGGGCGGGCTGGGTGCTGGGCAGGCCGGCACTGCTGAGCCCCTGAGCCCGCTGTCTGGCCGAGGGCCGCTTTACCGAGCTCATGCAGGAGAAAGTGGGCTTACAGGACTGGATGGAGGAGCTGGAGCATCGATGTATCCAGATGTCTGGAGAGACTGACACCATCGGTGAGCAGGGAGGCTTGTGCCCTGCAGCTGGGGTGCTATGCAGAGGCTGGGGAGACCCCAGCAGCTGAGCTGTCTGCGCGCCCTCCCCCTAGGAGAATACATCACTCTCTACCAGAACCAGAGAGCAGTGATGAGGGAGGAGCACCAAGAGAAGGAGGAGTCCATAAGGCAGCTGGCCCAGGACAAAGAGGAGATGAAGGTAGTCAGAGCTCTGGCTCCATGGTGGTGCGGCTGGGGCAGGGCGGGCTTCTGAGCATCTCTGCTTCCAGGTGAAGCTGTTAGAGCTGCAAGAGCTGGTTTTGCGGCTGGTGGAGGCACGCAACGAATGGCGGGCGAAGCCCTGAGCACCTGCCCAGAACCCTGCTGCTGAGCCCACTAGCGCATGCCTAGTCCCCAAGAAGCTTGGCACCGCCAACGTCCAAGGTGAGGAAAGCCCCTAACGGGGGCTGTTCAGGAAGAGCACACTCCGCCAGGCACACAGCATCCTGTCTCTGTCTCTCTGTAGGGTAAAGAAAATATCAGGCTTTTC